CAAAACTAGAATGAATCTTCTGCTTGAACATGGAATCATACGCCGCCATATGTTTTGTCTTTTGTGCAAGTGGTGACGAGTGGAGCAAGGCCCTTCGGGCCACTGCTCGTAGGAAAACGAAAGAGAGCTACGGTAGTAAGTAGTTGCAACTTGTAACCCATAACCGCTGGAAAACAGACCTGACTTCGGACGCCGACTATATATTGGTGGCCTGCTCCACTCTTCCACGAAATTTGTTGAACGTCTCTCAAGACGTAGGGACCCTTGCAGATGCACTGGTGGGGTCCTTCGGGAAAAAGACTATGCAACGAGGAAAATGTGGCCCCTTTTTTGTCCTTTGCCCTTAGGTTTTCAGAAGGTAGGGGCGGCATTGGCTACCTCCGCCAGCCCTCTCCGAAATTTTTTTTTCACCCTATTTTTTGGGGTGCGCCGCATCACGTGCGCGCGCATGCTTGCACGTGCGCTATGCGCCACACGTGCGGAGCTCGTGCGCACGAGATGCGCCGCAGGTATGGTTAGTTCTCTTGACTGATACCCTCCTCCACACTAACGAAGAACTCGCTGCCCTCCATCGATCCGTCAGTAAATTAGAGTTCCATCAGGGAGAGTTTGAGGGAATTTGGAATAACTTCCTTCGCACAGCCTCTCACCAAGTAGATGACCGAATCTTTGGATATTTAAAGCAGCTAGATGGAAAGGCGGTTAACGGAGACCCAAAATTTCAACGTTTTTTTAATGTTATTTATAAGAAAACCAGAAGCTCTTTTTAACCAAAAATTGCTTCATTCCATAGAGTGCACACCATATTAACAAACCATTAAAAAAAAAAAAAAAACTGAAAAAAAAAAAAGGGGGTGAAACAGAAAAATTTCAGCGTTTTTTCTTAATGTTATTTATAAGAAAACCAGAAGCCTTTTTTAACCAAAAATTGCATCATTCCATAGAGTGCACACCATATTAACAAACCATAATAATAAAAAAAAAAGGGTGAAACAGTAAGGCAAAAGTGCACTTGAATGACATTTTGGATTCAACGAATTTTTAGAATTTTCAGTGTTTTTGGAAATGGTCTTGTCAGAGGAAATTCCAATGCTCCAAATGAGACCAAATTTGGTACACAACAACCTTGAACTA